CGATCTCCCCAAAACCCCAAAACCCCAAAACCCCAGTAGTAAAAATTCTAAATGTAATTAATCTAATAAATTTAATCAATATAATTAAATCTCTCTATAATTTGAGACTAAATCTCATATCATTTCTAGTTTTAGTCAGTGTCGTAATCAGGGTGTAAATTTTATTGTAATTCCATTGTATCTTATTATTTAAACTCCTGTTATTAATCTAAATCCTAATACTGCTGTTATAGGTCTTGGCGATTGCTTAAGTTCTGTTAAATGTTAAGATACTAATCAACATCCTAAAAGGTATCATTATTCATCTATAAATCAATGTCTTCTTGTTTTTTATCATCTTCAAGATACTGCTTCTTTTATAAACCAAGCAGGTTTACAGATCCTTTTTAATCAACTTAACTGTTTATATTTTGAATGTTTTTGAATAACCCGCCAAGAGCACCACCAGCCTTATTATCGGTTGCGGCAGGTGCAAACTTACTTTTTACAGCTTGAGTAATGATCTGATTGTAAACTTGCTTTCCAAGCTTTTAAGATAATGATCCTAAAATATTTGATAGAGGTTCAAGCTCTGGTGTCTAAGATGATAGGTCCCCTTTTTGGACTCCTTTTATATGCTTATTGACATTTTTAAGGTTTTTCTCTAGACTAGCATTCATCATTTAGAAAGCTTGACTCATATTGTGCATTTCTTTTTAAATGTTCTCAGCACTCTATTGACTTTTAGCTTTATTAGCTTCCTTTATAATCTCTGCTCTATTGTCAAACTTTTCTGAGTCACTTATTTTTTCCAACTCCTCCTAAGTAAAATCATTGATAAACTCATCATCATCTTCTTCATTGAAGTACTTGTTTAGACGAGCCATCATCTTATTTGATTAGTTGTAACTCAGCCCTGATTACTGAGTGTTTTACTGCCTTGAACTACTTGAATGTCTGTTCCTCAGTGTTGGGCTCTCCCCACCTTACATGCTTGACTTTGGCGTCGACTCGTCCTAAGAATAATCAACAGCACTATTATCATCTGAGTCTGAGCTGTAGTCAGATGATAACTTATTTTCCTCAAGAGATCTGTTTGGATTCTTAATTGCTGTTTTTTACTGATGTCTTTTCATCCTCTATAAATTATATTATTTTTAGATATGAATAGTTACTCTTCTGAATTCAATTCTTCTCTGATAAGCTCTCTCATGGTAAAATTACTTAGCATCAGGATAATCTTCAAGTAGCTTCAAGAATTTAGACTTTTTCAAACACATGCAATAGGTATGCTCATTCTCTCCAGATCTAAATTTATGTTAAATATGATATATTAGTCTATTACTTATAAACTATCTGAGATCTGAGGTTCATTGTTATCTGATAATCTCCAAAGAATGAATAGGTTGGCAGTACGAAGAATTCATTTTCTTTACTAACTCCCTTCAGACTCAGCAGCACTATGCCTTTATAAATCAAGTAAAGCTCAGGGAAAGTCTCACCATACTTTATAATCTCACTTTTAGGAATATAAATTCTGCAGTATAAATGAGACAGGAAATCACTAATGAATTCCTAGCCACCTTCAAATTCATCATCCTCAAACATATAGTAGAAATTTTGTTTAAATGAACCAAATAACTCATTGATTAATTTGTATCTGAGCTTTGGCTTGAGCTGTACATAGAATTCATAGGAGTGAATAAGATTAAAATCCAAGAGGAACGAAGCTTCCACATAGTTCTTGATGTTATCATAAAGTCCCTTCGGCAGATGCTTATTTGTACGGGATTTATCCAACCTTCTAAGCCAGATATCTAAATCCTCAATCTTCTCGTCAATGATATCCTGAAGCTTAGATTCCTGCACCAAAATGTTGTTTATAGACCCCATAAGAAATGAGAAGAAACCAATTCCTATGAATTCTACTGCCATCTGGAAAACATACTCATTATTTGTGAATCCTCTGAAATCTCCATAACCCACTGTAGTAAGAGTAGTGATGATAAAGTAAACTGCTCTGATATAAACTTGAGATACGTTTGTTTTTTCAAAGTTAGGCTTGTTGTTACCCTTCTCGTCATCATTCAGGTTTTTCCTGTCAAGCCAGCTTCCTTATGTTTCTAGCCCGATAAAGCACCAAATGCAAGCCAATATATGAATAATGAAGATCAAATTCAAAAGCAGTCTAAATATGATGAAATAATATAATTTATACTTACGTGATGAAATAGAATACTCTTTCAATTATTTGTTTGTTAAGACCTATTCTATTGAAAATCCTTGAGAGATACATATTTATGAATTGAAGAAATTTCCTGAAATGCACATATCTGAAGATCTTAAACCAGTAGTAGTCAGGGTTTTAGACAGTAATTAAACCTGGGAGAGTAGCCACCATATCAAACACAAAGTATGATTTTATATAGGCTTTAGCTATTTCTTTTAGTTTAAATTTCCATTCTATATCCTATTGAAATGCTGTGATGAAATTCAGCAGGATATTGAATAGGAAAGAGATGTCATAAAGTAGCTCCCACATGTAGGTCTATCTGCTTATTTCAAAAGGCTTTTCATGGTCAAATGCCAAAGTAAATGGTACTAGAAAGAAATTCACAGTCAGTCCTAGATTTATATAGATGTCCCAGAAATTTTTAAAAGTACTCTTCTCTGGATGAATGATAATGTATTACAAAAATGTCTTTTTCTGAGCATCCTATTTCGCAGTTTCGTCATCCTCATCTTCTTATTCTATGTCCTCATTTTGAGCTTCATATTTCTTTAAATCCACTTTTTATTAAGACCTAAATGATAGTAATAATCGAATTAACCTACGTTGCAATGAACTGGATATTCATTTTCATAAGTTTAACATGTTCCCTTAATCGTTGCCATAGGTATTTAGTTCTATCCTCTCTTTTCTCAGCGTCACTCTTCTCAAAATCATCATCCATGCTCTCTTTCTTTTTTAAAGTCTTTCTACCCTCTGTGCTAGCAATCTTCTTTTTCCTGCAAAATCTAATATTCCTAAGGAGTTATATTTAAACTCTAGAAATTTAAAAATGATTGCTTACCTGCAAAATCCCTTAGATTAAGGCTGCTAATCATCTTTGGCCTTGTTAGCATCGTCGATATCACGAGAATCGTTCATGTCATCTCTTCTATCAATGGGCATTATCTTGGCAATCGACTGATTGTTGGATAAGTTGAGCTTCTAAGGAGATCTATCTAGCTCCTCTTCTTCAGGCTCATCTCGTTATCGCTTTGCAAAGTTTGGATTATTCTTAGACATTTAATATTATAATTCAATCTAATTTTAAAAGTATTATGCTTTTTCATTTTAATTTTAAGATTTCTAATTTTAAATACTCTGTACTTACTGCTATATTTCACACGGGGTTTTGGGGTTTTGGGGTTTTGGGGTTTTGGGG